GCAGTTTACAAAATCATCAAAAAGGATCAGGATCCTGTTGTGACAAGGCTAGATGTTGGAAACAGCCATGTCTTGCTGACAGGCTGGAGAACTCAAGTGCAGTAAGGGCTTGAAGAAAGTTGAAGGCAGGCCTAGATAACTGAAGTAGATAGGCGCACACTGAGGATGATGAAGATTGCCAAAGTGGAATGAAGCCAGGTGAAGATTGAGGAAGTAGAATGGAGACCACTGATCCAGTGCTCTCTAATTGAGATACCTTCAGACCTAGATAGTGTGCTCAGCAATACTAACCTGTGTCTCCACAGGATACTCCAACTGAAGGAGAGTGGCAGGAATGAGAAGGTGAGAGCTTTCAGGTGAGTGCTTTCCTTGGCATAACAGTTCCAGTTAAAAGAAAAAAAAAATATAATAAATAATAAAATTAAACATGGGTATTAGAAAGCACAAGAAAGAGAAAAAAATAAAATTATAATGTAGTTTAAAACAGCAGCACAGGATAAAATTAAGTATCTCGCATACCAAGACACCAAATACTAGGAAAGATTCAGATCAAGAATACATCACATACGTAACCCAGGTGTTTACCAAGAAAGAAAGAGACAATGAGTTTCATGCTAAGAAGACAAAATTACACATAAGTAGTGCTAACATGGGTGACGGAAAAGGTTACAGTTGTTCTTAATCAGCTGTTCTTAAGGAAATGAAGGTAAAACCTTTAACATTCTCTTGGAATGTATTACAAAGAAAAAGGTTAAAATAACTTAAACTTTTTATTCTCTCTCTGTAGAGATGACTACAGAAGGATACAAGTCTTCAAAATCATCTATGACATTGACAAAATTAGCCCAGTGGATTTCATTGAAACCAACAGTGAAACCTCATCCCTAGGATTCTAGTGTAAATTATGTGCAAGTACATTTAAATTGGAAACTAGAATAACTTCTTTATCCAATGGGCTTTGGAAATAGAGAGCAAGCTTCCCGGTCATGTGTTGAAGCCATTACCCTGGCTTCTTTCACAAGATGGCTGGATGAGAACTTTAGTTAAATTAGTTACCGACTACCAAACAAGCTAGATGAGTTGATTATAAAAACAAGAGATGTTACTCACAGGCCAAAACCAAAGCTTTAACAATTACTCAAAACAGGGTAGTACCCATGGAGTAGAAAATTGATAATTTAGGTACCCAGCCATATAAAGGTTGAAAAACTGAAACAAGCAATTAAATTTCAGAAAGTCTTACTTATATCACATGTAAGTTTATGGAAGCTACAATTTGGACCAAATTAGTATGTGCATCTGAATGGAAACAGGTTTCTAGAGGATTGGCAGCATCAGTAATGTATACATACATTTGAATATTGAATGTGTGATTTCATGGTTTTTGGATTCATTTTGATTCATTCATCATTCATGACTAACTCAAGTGATTTTCACTGTTTCATAACAAAATCATCTCAAGTGAGAGGCTGGCATAGATGAGGAGGTGATTTCAGCTTTTGAATGAGTGAAAACCAGTAATGACAAAAACAGAAAGGAACCAGAATCAGAATCAACACCTTTGTCCTACTGGTATGTTAAAGCAACAACATAGAGATACCTTTGCCAGGGTATCGACTTCAACAACATGGTTGTCTCTTCTGTAATCCCACGGCTTTTGGCATTGTAAAAAAGGAAAACAAAATGCTGATACATAGTTAAAAGCCCATTATTATATATACCAAAGCACTATCAAACTTTAATATAGACGAAACTATCCCTATGTTTTAAGAGGATGTCAGACATTTCTTGTCATTGGAAATACCTTGGGTACATACACTAATTAATGTTGTCACAGACCAAAAAATTAAAAATCAGAAAAACAACGCACATCATCATTTTACATACAGGAAAAATGTAAGCATGCAAAAAGTAATGCAATATGAAATTCCATCCAAAATACCCTAACCTAATTTAAAAATGAAATTCGAACTCTCATTTAGAATCAATAAAAATAATCATACTCCATTTGATTCTTATTTTACAAGCCTTCTGTAATACTGTAATACAAAACAAGAAACCAGCTGAAACAGATGTTTATATTGGCAAAAGTATGCTAGAAATATTTATGAATACTTTTTTTCAGGAAAATATGACTTAAGCAACATTTGGTTTGCTCATTATCTCAGTCATGCTTGTCTGTTCTCATGACATGAGACCATTTCACATTTGTTATTGTTTGAGAGTAAGATTTTATTTATTCTTTTTGACAATGTATTAACATTGTGCTATTGAACATTTCACTGTACATTTTCACTGTTATTTTCCCCAAGTACTTTTAAAACACTTTTATGGATTTGCAGGTCAGCATTTTGTTATTATACTGTATGTTTCATGTTCAAACCAATGAAATGCACAGTCTTGTAATTACTGTGACAATATTTTAAAAATACTTTGCGGTTAACACTATGAAATCTAATAAGGAAACTGTGTAAATAAACTTAAAAACTTTAAGATTAAGCTTTAAAACACCATACTGTACCATTTTACACAACAATTTATGCAACAAATCAATGAATTTAAGTGGATTTCTGCTATAAAGAAGAACCTATCTGTCCTTTGGTTTAATGTCAATTCCATCTACTAAAAATGATCTTAAATGGACAAATATCTGGTCTAGCTAAAACAAATACACAGAAAAAAACACATTTTTCAAAATATTTTTTCATTAAACAAAGAATACTTGTCTTTATATATGGGTTAGAACAAGGGCTATTTTGAAGAGGCCTGTGGATCCAATGCATGTCAGGCACTGAACTAGCATTAAAAAGCTCAGGGTATCATTATTTAAAAATAAGGTAATTATTAATTAAAATAATGTTCTTTACAATAATTAAGGGATACTTACCAGCATACAAGTCTCCAATTTCGAATTCTTAAATTTATTTAAGGTTTAAATTGCGTTATAATTTATAGTAATACTATACTGTATACATTATACTTGGAAAACATGATCATGTGATTAAAAAACAAACTGTTCCCTAAGCAATTTAAAGCTCTTTGCAAGATTAATTTGTTAAATTGTATAACTGTTAATCCCCCAAATTAGAAAGGTAATGTCTGATAAGTGCAGTCTTGTTCCAGTCTTGTATATTCAAGACACTACACTATCTGGAAGGCAAATTAATTTTAGATATTCTGGAAGAGATCCATCTATCCAGAATAGATCAACATTTCCAGGTCCTAATCTGTCTTGCAGTTTACACTATTGCTTAAACAGCTTTTGTAGAAAAAATAGCAGTTTTTAGAGGAAGATATAGACATTTGTTCATTGTCCCTGTTCTTTATGTCATATTTGTGTTAATTGCCTTACAATGCTTATAACTTATTCAGTTTACTCACCTAAGTCATTCTCAAATTTTCAATGTAATTCCCAAACCCTGATGGATTAATTGAAGCAATTAAACATGCTGTAACAGGCACAACAGCAGTCAGGGAATTGAACAAACTGGGTCAGTGACTGCTAGGAGCAAAGAGATATCAAATAGGTTATACACAAAAAGACAAGCGAAAAAGAGGAAGAAAGTTTAAAAGTGTGTTTAAAATAAAACGACATTACCAGGGCCAAGAGTTATTAATTGAACAGATCAAAAGTGCTAGTGATCTATAAATGAGCAACATCTGGAAGACCCATACTATGCTGACAAAACATTTATGTACACGTTTGTTTGACCACATCACATCGACAGGTTAGTTTGGTTTGGTTTGTTTGGTTAGCTTCCCATGTCTTTAATTATCAGTCCAAAATGGTCTTCATGTTAGCACTTCGTATTTCTCCAATGAGTGTGTTATGACTGACTGCTCTTTCAGATCTGTGCAGTATAAAAGAATGGGGGTGGACCTCATGACCATATCCAATACTTTTTCATCTTAGGGCTGGACTGAGGTATCATGTAAAGCCAAAGGTTAATGGCTTAATACAGAATTAAATCAGTGATATAAAAAGCAACTGTGAAATGTGCTATCATCTGATAATCTTATCAAACATGCCATATCATAAATGTCAACTCTCATAAACATTGGGGTGCAGCACTAAATATGAGAATTGTGTATGAACAGACAAGATCTACAGCTGTGCTAGAATTGAATGGTCTTTTAAACCTAAAGATTCAAACACTGCATTCTGTATGCCTGCTCATACCATATGATGAAGTGTACAGTATGTAGAGGCACATTAAAGAAAGAAAAAAAACATGAGCTCAACCATTTCTTGTAGGCTTTATTCTATTGTTAAACAAACTGAAAATGTAACAAGGATAATAATGGCAGCTGCAAAGTAGCAGGGCAATATTGCTACTGGAGCACAAGAAACATTTTCCCCTGCAACATAAACCAGTTTATAGCCATGCTGTTCTGTACTATATATGCTTTTCTGTATTCTATAACATTATGTCAAGAGCATGAAACTCTTTGTTCAGCCCTCTGTCTTATAATTAAAACAAAATTCAACATTAGAGGTGGAAAGGCCACAGGGAAGGGCAGTCATCATGGAACGGAACCATTCCTGCATTTATGCCCAACTGAAAATGAAGAGCATAGGTTTTTTATATTTACAATACTGATTTCAGATTTAATTAGATCAGCCAAAGTACATATTTATTGGATATTTACACCTTCATTCTGAAACAATGTTAGACTGCTCACTGATGTGTGTTAAGTATATGCTAATACAGAAATAATTGCAGTGAGAAGGGAAAATGTCATATAAAATAAAACAAAATAAGTTCTGATAACTGTCCCCTTGAAGCACTGTGACAATAATATGCAACCAATCCAATGAAAAACCTAAATAATAATTAATAATACATCTAAGCTTTTATAATGTGGCCACATGAAATGAATGTTGTGATTTATAAAATAGACAGGAAAAATGTGGTTATGAAAAAATGTGAATGCTATAAAGGGCTATTGATTAAAAAAAGTGTCAGCATTATAAACAAGGGAGAGTCTGAACAGTTACCTGCAGAAAAGCAAATATATTTATTAAGCACTTTAATATACATAAGGAATTTCAGCTTCATATAATACAAGAAATAAAATAATTTTTAAAATGTGAAGTTCAATGTACATTATATGCTATTTACAACCATACTGTTTAAATGCAATCCTTACAGCCTAAAATGAAAAACAAACTTGCATAACAAAAAAAAAGATGGAAAAATAAGTTCAAAACTTGGCTAAATTATCATAAATACTGTCCAGGACAGAAGGCCTTTAAAGGGCCCTTCTGTTTCCTATGTGCTTTTCCCAGTCCTTGCTAGCTTGCAAGTTTAAGCAAAAACCAGAACCCTTTAGTTTGAAGCTGTTATACAGATCTGTTTGAAAGATGGCCACAGTTTATTTCTTTATAAACATAGTTCTCCATACATTAATGGTTTTCCACTTTGTTTTTAATTTAGGAAAGCAGTGGCATACTGATAGTCCATCTTCGTGAAACTAAAAAGCCAGAAAAACTATGACATTACACAAAAACGCGCACACACCCTTCACAGGTCCACAAGAAACAGATGTTCCGAATCTCAGAGCTCCTTGTGCTCTAATTCTGAGCTCCTTTGCTTCCTGGCAGTCAAAGCTTGGGGATATGAAATATAGCCGCTGAAACCAATACTTTTTCCTCTTTGTTTTTCCATTGACTTTCAGAGACATGACAAGCATATAACATCCAACACTGGCTTAAAACAAGAATATTATTGAAGTTTAAAGCTTCAAGGGATCAGAAAAAAAATACCCTTTACCAACCCATGGAAAGTGTTTTCTGCCACAAACTGCTGCATTCTCAAGAATGTCTTATTGTAATTACGACAGCAAGGAAAGTCTTAGAAAAAAAGAGCTTACACATCTTATCTTGCAATGCACATATCATAGGCTGCTGAAAACAACTTCATACAGAACAGTGTTACTGATGAAATTAATTTCTCTAACCTCAAATACTGGCGCACACTAAGAAGCTTAAATCTAACACTATTTTAAGTATCTTTTCTGACATATCTAGTAATTAAAGTCCCACTGGGACAAATCAAAAGCAACTGTTCCTGATGATTTCATTGAAATTTGCTATTGGGGACCCAGTAATACTATGGTATTCATGAACAAAATAAAAATGCTTAATGGATGTCAACACAGCCCCTTTAAATATCTGTAGGGAAATGATCATGACAGCACCATGGTATAATACACAATACAAGTGGCTTTTTCCATAATAAATAGTGTTGATTATATCCATACTGTAAGTTACGTTTTCTGTTAACATAAAACACACAAGATCTATAGGAAATGTACGATTTCTTATGAGAGGAACACTGTTTCAAGTCTACATAGAGGTTTTGACATCAGAAAGGCAGAGTATATAAATACATGTAACACTGCCCTAGGCGATGAAATATCTTGAAATTCAACAGTGAGGTGTTGCAGTATTGTACTAGGCAGTACATTTATTTCTAGAAATGTATATTTGCAGGCAAGGAAAACAATAAAAAAGCATTTTCAACAATTATTTTGTTAGGAAACAAACAGAAGTTGTCTAAAAAAAGTGCATACTCTGCATATTAAATATATGGTACATTAAATAAAATTATAAAGCGTGCAGGGTTACACTGAAAAGGCCATCACAGATGTAGGCACATTGCAGTATCAGTTCATGTAATCAGTGTGCAGCAATCACATTCTTCCCTAGGCTTTCGAGGTGTTCAAAGTTCCCACTCTGTAAAAAGTGGAAAATAAATTCAGTTTTCTGCAGATAAAAGAGGTTCCTTTGGCACATTCTCTCCAATGTCTGTATGGCGGATACTGTTGAAGACATCTGAAACAGAATAAAAGGAAATCAGCTGTAAATTTCAGTTATCTATTTTAAAAATATGAGATATGGACATTTAACAGGACTTAAAACTTTCACAAAATGTACTTTAACAGCTATTCATACGATGTCGTAATCAACAAAGAAGCATTAGAGTTGAGAATAGAATTTACTTTGCTTGTTTTTTACCACCAGAAGAATCAATTCATAGCAGACAAGGTGTTGTAAAAGAAGCGTTACCTCCAAATCATGACAATTTAATACACAGAACCAAAGCCTCTGCTTTTTAAAAAGTATTAGCATCCAAATTTAAAAAATCTTGCTCCCTGTAAGTATTTCTAAAACAAAATTACATTAATTCAGTTTAATAATTTAACTATATTCTCTCAAATATTTAAATAAAACAGACAAGATATTTTTTGTCAAGTCTTATTTTGACTCAATAGCAGTCCCCTACATTTCAGTATTGCTTAACAAGCAAAATCAAGCAGAAACATGTCCCAGGGTTCTCAATGTACAATAGGATAAAGGTTTATACAAAAGTCATGGGGAGATTCAAGAGCTACGAACACCAAGTTACATGGAAAATGTTTTCATGAACTTCCTTGTGCCTTCCTTTTTGTACTTTTTGGACATGATACTAAGCTACCAATTAAATTCTTTCTTCAGCAAAAAGATACTATATTTTTTTCTAATTTCTTTTTTAAAAAACATGTCAGTCCATGTTTGACATAACGTACCAGCTATAATGGAGTTTCCTTTTTGTAGTTAAAGCTTGGGTCTGTTCCTTCAATCTGCAGTTTCAGGGCTTGTTTAAGGCTAAGTTCCGTCTCCCCTATGGGGTAACCATCTAGTACTTCCTGATGCCCTCTATCTTGGACAGTTCTTGGGACAGACACTCTCCCAAGGAAAACTTGATTCCCCTGAAGGTGATAGTTCGGATTGGTCATGATGCCATTCCTTTTCTTTTCTGTACTGTTTTGCTGTTGGATAAGGAACTGTTGTGGTGACCTTCCCACCTCTTGCTGAGTGGGAACAACTATTTTACACTGAGGTTCTGGAAGGAGCTGCTTCACTGTCACTCCAGCATTTGATGCAGGCTTTGTTAGAGCGATCCTTTTGTCAAACTGCGTCATTTCATATTCTAACACCTGACTTTGTGAGCCACTATTCTTGGACCTTTTTTTCTCCCCTGAACTACCCTTACTTGAGCCATTGGATGCATTATTTAATTTACTTCCTTTGGTTGACTTTAGGCTTGGCTTTACTTGACTCCATTCATATTCACTAGAGGGTGAACTGGGATGTTGTCCTATGGACTTTGTTGTAGAAGACGGTGATACTATAGACTGCCTGCTTCGACTGCGAGGCAAAGAGTGCTGTTGGATTTGCTCAGTAAAGGACAACCCATGGAAACTATCAATTGGCACAGTCTGGGCAGTTGCCGTTGATGATGTTGTTCGCAAGGAAGAGTTCTTTGAGCTTTTGAGAGAGTTGTTGGAGAGAGAAGACTTATGCCGGTCAACAGTTGAGTCAGGGGATTCTGAAGGAGAGCTGAAGGCGTGTACAGGTCCATTAGATAAGCCACGACCTGAAGGCTGGAGTTCCCCAGCACCTGTGCTGCCAGAGCTGTTTGATTTTATTGTTAAAGACTGCATCTTACCAGTTACAGAAATGGGAGCCTTCTGTTCCATTGTGTGAACAGGAGAAGGACTACAACCATTCAAACTAGAAGCCCCATATGTTTCTAAAAGTTTGATAATCTGTGAATGCCCTCCCTTTGCAGCCACTCGCATGGCTGTGCGTCCAAACTGGTCTGCGTGGTTTGGGTCAGCACCATGTTCTAATAATAGCTGGACCACATCAATGTGTCCTTCCTGGGCTGCAATGCATAATCCTGTTGCTCCTTGATTACATGTGTGATCCACGTGAGTTCCATTATCAATCAATAACTGTACTACCTTGATGTGACCCTGCCATGCTGCAGACTGCAAAGCCGAACGCTTTTCATTATCACAAGAATTCACATCAGCATGGTAGTTTATCAGCATTCGCACCATTTCTACATGCCCCTGCCAGCAGGAAACATGAAGAGCTGTTCTTCCTTCTGTATCACTGGCTTCTACATTTGCTCCATTTTCTAAGAAATATTCTGCCATGGCTAGTTGATTTTCAAGAGCCAAGATATATAGAGTAGGACGTCCATCTGCATCTTTGCAGTCTATGTCAGCTCCATGGTTAAGAAGCAGCTCAACAATGTCTCTATGTCCTTCCAAAGCTGCAACTCTGAGTGAATTCCTTCCATCATAGCCTCTCTGGTCAATGCTAGATTTATTTTCAATTAGTATCTGTACACAATCATAATGACCTTCTTGCGCAGCAAGTATCAGTGGAATCCGCCCATCATTGTCAACTTCACTGCATCGGGCACCTTGTTCAATAAGCGCATCACATACTAGCCTGTGCCCCTCAAAAGAAGCCATGTGCAGTGGGGTCCAGCCTGCATCATCTCTATGATTTTCATCTAGTCCCCTGTCCAGCAGAGTTCGCACAACTTCCACATTCCCTTGAGCAGATGCTATACTCAGTACAGTTCTTCCTTCACTGTCAATACTATCTACTGCAGCTCCCCAAAAGAGAAGGGTGTTGACAACTGATGCATGTCCCATAGAAGCAGCTGCAAGAAGAGGTGTTCTCCCATTGTTATCAGTATGATCAACATCTGCTCCCCCTTCCAGCAGTAAATCAACAACATCAACGTGTCCTTCATAGGCAGCAACTAATAAGGGGGTCATGCCATCTTTGTCACAGTGATCAACTTCTGCTCCTCTGTCTATAAGTAGACTGACTACAGAGGCATGCCCTTTGCTTGCTGGTACACAGAGGGCAGCTACTGAAAGAGCAGTCCTCCCATCCACATCCTCATGATTTACTTCTGCCCCATGGTCAAGAAGATGCTCCACAATCTCTCTGTGACCCATATATGCTGCAGCAATGAGTGCGGTCCTTCCTTCATTATCTGCTTTATTGACTTCTGCCCCATGTTGTAGCAGATTCAACACAATGTCCTCGTGTCCTCCCCAAGCTGCAGCCCTCAAGGCTGTTCTACTATCAGCATCTGCACAATCTACTTTGGCGCCAGAGTACAAAAGTGCAGAAACCACCTCAGAGTGTCCTCCCCATGCAGCAGACCTTAGCGCTGTCCAACCATCATGATCAGTGTGATTGATATTTGCTCCACACCCGATAAGGCAGTTCACAACCTTGGTATGACCTTGTCTTGCTGCAAGTGTAAGTGCTGTCTGTCCATGGCCATCTTCAATTTCCAAATTTGCTTCTCTAGAAATTAATAAATTAACCACATCTAGATTGCCACTGTATGCAGCATTTGCTAATAAAGTTCTTCCACTTGAGTCACTTTGGTTTACAGAAGCTCCATTATCAAGTAAAGTCCGAATTGAATCCTCCCTTTCCAAGGCCTGTTGGACGATACATGACGCTCGGTCATCTTCACTGCTGACATGGGCACCAGCTTTGACCAACAGCTGTAAAACCTCCTGTTCTTTTGGGATGGAGGTTGTCAAAGAGTCTTTAGCAGGTGTTCCATTCCATACCATCCAGAGTGCAAGATGATAGGGCTCTATTTGGAAGTTGGAGTTAATCAGGTGTAATGCAAATTCTTGCACTTCCAGTGGTTTAAGCTCCTTGGCCCTACAGGTATAACTCATAGCCATCATTCTGTGTCCCTCTGCTGCATTACACAAATATTTTTGAGTACAATGCTTTACATCCAACAGCCACTCTGCAAAGCTATAATGAAAAAGGATTTTAGTATTTCCTAGGCCATCGATGAGCAGCTTTGACAGGATATCCATCTTTCTTTGAAATTCTTCCAATGTCAATGACATGTTTTTTGTCCAGACTGCATGATAAAGCTCCTTAACAGTAAGCGGTCTGCATGCCGCAAGAATCACATTCAAGATGGGTTGCACTTTTGTAAACTGCTTTCTCACAAAAAGCCTCTGGCAAAGCCACAGGTACAACCCATTCAGTGTTCCAGGGATGTCACGGATCTCTCGAAGCATGATGAAGTTCTCCACAACTCCATCTAGCACTCGTTCCAAATACAGGAAGCATCCGCTGCTTTTGATGTGGAGTTGATTCAGCATTTCTGCCGTTTCTTTTGTTAGGTGTTGCCTCAGTGCTTCTTCTTGGTCTAATCGGTGTAGGATATACTGTTGCACATCCTTCACAATGTAAGCTTTACGAAGGTCATCAAGGCTGATTTTACGGAATCCTATGAGAGAAAAGCAGAAAAAATGAGTACAGATGAATTTTTACTGACATGACAATACATACTAATTTAATTGTGGAGCTTTTTAGGAAATGGTCTAAAAAGTACTGACATTTTTTGTATAAATATATATAAATGACACTTTTAGAAACAGAAAACTTTTTTCCGCAGTGTTATGCTTTTATTATTAACCTGATATTTACAAAAATATTTTATACTAAATGCACTTGTTAAATGTTATAAACTTAAATGTTAATAACTGAATTTCCTGCTATATGCAGCACACATTCTACATTTTTCAGTGATATTACAAAGTTTACAAATATAAATCATTTGGCCCAGCTAGGTTTTTAGTTAAATTAATAGTTTGCTGTTATGAGGTCAGATCCAGTTTTACTTTCTGATGTTGTCATACAACTGGTAGTCAGATTTCAAATGGCTTAAGAACAAGATAGACCATAACCCAGCAGGCCTACCAGGATCAAATACTTCAAAGAAATCCACATTTTATGACCCCAGGCTGTACGTATTCACAAAAGGTGAAACCTCCTGCTACTGTAACATCTATATTTAACAGGTTAAAATAGAGAGCTGCATCAGTGTGTGAGCTGAAAGGAACAAACAGTGGTTAATTCCACAATAAAGATCAATCCTTTCACTGTTTAATGTGGAATTAACCTCTGCATGGTTCCTATGTATAATATATATAGACCAATTGAATACTTACATATGAAATATAAAATATTGCTTATTTATGCAATATAATCTACATAATATACAACTAAAAATTAAAAGCATATTTAATTTTAAGTAGGTTTTGTATAATGTGAAATACTGTCAAAAAAACAGTTTAAATCTAATCTATAGTCAGTGAATTACTAACCAGACCATCAGGCCCTACATTTACCTCCCTAGAACAATTTGTTTTATCATCTTAGCTGTCTGAAACAAATCTTTTGCAGTTACATGAAACACATTTTCACTTTTCTATGATACCAGAAATACAAATTACATGATTATAATGAATAGTGCATGAAATTAAAAACACTGATAGAGACACTAGAGACACTGTAATGCTTTTGAGTTTATGGTTTCCCGTCTTTTACTTGTTACCGTGTGTTGCTTAACCTCAATCCAAACCAATCAGTTAAATTCCTATTAGCAACATACACAAGCACAAAGAAGTAGGAAGATCATTTCAGAAACAACACCAGGTTGTATTGCAGAAAGCAGTAAAGCTGAAGAATTAAAAAAAAACATCACATAACCACCAAAACTATCACCACCACCTGTTCAATCATACTTTTTGTTTGGCTATAATCAAAACTATATCGGAGACATTAAGAAATAAGTATCTGAATTAAAAAAAATGTCCTCAACCATTTTTAACCGTTAAATACCATAAGATAGAAACTATTTGTTCTGTGTTTATAAGGTCATAATCACATTTTACACTGAAAACAATTCTTAATATAAAAACTTTTACATATCACTAAGTCCAAGGACAGAGGAGTATTTACATAAAGCTGTACTGTTCCCAGGGTCTCCCTTAACTTGGAAATGGGGGGAAGGGACACAGTCTAAACATTCACTTGCACTGCTTTGGCATAGTTCACATATTTCTTAAATGTAATCAGTGTATTCAGTGGGAAAAATAAATGCTGCATTCTCTTATTTATTGAATTCTCCATTGACCAAAAACAATTCTGCTCTGAATGCAAATCTTCACACTCTACAGAGCCCATGGGTCATTAAATAAGTGCATCCAGATTCCCCATTTCTGGTGAGAAAGTCTAATGTTTACATCTTTTTATTCTAATGAAGCAGCAGATTTGCTTACAAAATAACCTTAAGCCATATTTTAAACCCTTCCCCTCTTAATATCCACTGCAAACTATCTTCTGTGAAAAGGACAAAATTTGTAACTGTTATACAAGATAACACAAAGTCATTATAAAAACAGTAAATCAGTAAAGCAAAATACTGTGTAGCCTTCTACGATTTGTCATTTCTACAGAAAATAGATCATACCTAAAATTTAGTAAAATCTAAATTCAAAACTGCTCATCTGTTAGGCAGACCTTGACTGGAACTTGATCCAGTTGGTTTAGGTTTTTGCAAAGAAAATACCTAATGTCCAACACAAAAAAATAGTTCTATTATGATGACTAGGCTGAACAAAAGTAATCTAACCTAAACACAGTTTTTTTTCCATACCTCTATTCCAAACACTTAGTGTGATCACAAAATAGTTTCTAAGAAATAATGCTTACTGGTGAGAATTTCTTTAGTATTTGGTAAAAAAAAAAGTAAAAACCGTTTGCTCTCAAGAATTAAGTAAAGTACACTTATTTTCTTTAATTAAATCCACATACATTACTCAAGGATCCTCCTTGTGTTTTACAAAGCATTCTTCTTGTATGTGACAACTCTATAGTACCTGGGCAAGCAGAAAACAGGTATACACTGGTAACTTAAGTAACAGCCTGATAACACTTATTGATACATTTCACAACATCTTGCTTATAACAGGAGGACTGTACCTCAAATCATAAAAAATTAACAATAAAACCCTAAGACATTCAGTGGCATTAAAATGTGAACTTCACAGACTTCTACATATACAGCCGCATTACCATTTTATCATCAGAAACTATTTTCCATTACTGCTCCAGACAGCTTACATTTATTTCCAGTTACAATGATCTAACGGTACAGAGCTGCTTAATACTTAAGTGAACACTTGGGAAGAATCCAGGCTGAACAGGAAACAGTCTGGTTTGGAGAAAAAGGATAGAGGCCATGCAAAAGGATAACCAAGAAATGAAACATTTTATGTATTTCTGAGGGCAAATGCAGACTGACATTTCTTTCTCCCACTGTAGAAATCTTGCAGTTTTAGCGTATTTTGAAAATGTACCTTTTGTTTACCTTTTAGAACATCGAGTTTACCTTTTAGAATAAATGTTTCCAAGGATTAATTCCTTCCGGACTTCAAATGGTAGAAAAAAATAACAGGACTGCGATGTTTCATTTCTTCAAGTTAACAAGGTTTGGCTCCGCAGAATATAATGTGCAAATTCTATGGGTGTGTGAAGACAGTATACCTTCTATACTGAGATAGCATAAGGTGCGTAATTATACAAACCATTGTTAAGGGGATATTAATATGTAAAAACAAAAGAAATTCTAACAACTCCTAAAAATAGAAAATCTATTGCCTACTTGAAGTTTTGATAAAGCTATTTTCTAACTCACGAGCTACAGATAACAGATCTAGAAATTCAGATTAAATTATTACCACATATGGTGTATTTACCTGTTAATTGACATTTTAATGTATTTGAATCTCACATTATTATTCATGGCAAGATAAAGCCTTACTTCTTTAAGTGTGGACGATCTGAATTTTGTTTTAAATCCATATTGTATAAATGAACTTCACAAAGTATCAGAATTACACAAAAATTACATGTATTTGCTTCCTTATACTTGTCTAAAATGTTTACATTTTCTGGATAATAAGCATATGTTAGATTTTCAACATAGTTTTCACCTTGGTATACCAATGAAAAGTTCTCTCTAATGCAATCCTTGTATCAAGTAGTGTAACTGATCTTAAAATAGTGACAAAATACATATGGCTTTAGAATACGAGCTGCAACAGTCATTATTAATGATATCTTACCTGTTCAGATGTGCTTTATTATTGCAAACCTTAATTTTGAAAAGGAAGTCATATTATAAAAGTCTAATAAGGTCTTCATTAGCATAAATATAATATTCACTTCGGAATAGGAGCTATTGAAGTCTTTATTCCCGATCTACACGTAGTGGATACAAAATGGAAACAACAATATAAAGCCACTGAACAGGGTGGCTTTCGGGTACTTAATATTTACCAACCAGCCCTTTCCAGAATTTCTATAGATCATCCTGAGCATAAGGGGATGTTATTTACTTAATGCATGACCCACACCTGTTTGGAAGCCCTTATTTTCAATATACTTGATGCCCCTCCGTTACCAATAGTGTCCCTTAGTTATTTCCATTTCATACTTCATTAATCATTAATGACTAACAACCAAAGCGCTTCGAAAAGGAAAATATGCTTAGAACAATATGCTAAGCTCTGACTAAAACTGCAGGGAAAAACTTATAAATATAATGTGGAATTTTAAACTGAAGAACATTTTAAACATACATCCTTAAGTTTGTTGTTTTATTACCTAAGTGTTTATGCTTAAAAAGCAGAAAGTAGGCTCTTAACTGGACACCTCTAGTCTTCACTTCAGAACCAGAGTTAAATAATTTGCAGACTTAAATTTATATCCAGTGAATACAGTGGCAGAGGGGAGTAGCCGGTAGGGCTACAGACTCTTAAACAGATTGTTGTGGTCTGAAATAACTGGTGAACACACTGTAGCCTTGAACTAGGTACTTTACACAGATTATACTATATGAGTGGGTACCAAACTTTACATGTAAAAACAGGGAATCTCCATAAAGTTGTCTGGCCTAAAGTGTCAGCCAAATACATGTATAAGACTGTAAAAAGAGAGTGGAATAACTAGTTTACACAGTTTTATTCTTAGCTGACATACAGTGTCGTAAAAAATAATTTGCCCCCTTCCTGATTTATTCTATTGTTGCAGACTTTTGACACTGAATGTTTTCAGATCTTCAACCAAAATCTAATTTTAGATGAATAGAACCTGAGTGAACAAATAACACTTTTTTAACTTATTTCATTTATTTAATGAACAAAGTTAACCAACACCAACTGGCACTGTGTGAAAAAAGAAATTGCCCAATTGAATCAACCCAATTAAAGGGATAATTTAGAGTCATCTGATTGAACACAGGCAGGCTTGATTACAGCCAGTCCTGTTCAATATAAACCTCACTTAATTTTACTGTTACCATCAGAGTCAAGTTGCCAGCACAAAGATTCAACAAGCACATTATAACATGATCAAAGGAAATTCCTGAAGAGATGAGAA